CCGAGCTGCCAGATGGCAAGCCTGTCCTTGCCGAGCTAGAGGCGAGGTTCAGATCAACAGTATGGATCAAGAGGGGCAGCTATGTGGTTATAGATATGTCTGCTCTGGCGGACCGTGAGAACAAGCTGGATGGAGAGATTGTGAACGTGGTGCGCGACGAGAAGGCGTGGAGGAAAATGAGCTACTGGTATGTTTCCAGCCGGGTATCATGTAGTATGTGTACAGAGCGCTAACAATAGTATACAGGCCCAAGGAGTTCGTAAAGAAGTCGACGTACGTCCAAGATAGCGACGACGAGGAATCGACCGTCGGCAAGATGCCGCCCTCCGACTCAGACGAGGACTGAGTTCTTCGTCGCATCACTCGGCGTGCGCATGGTCCTCCTCGATTATACCCTTCGTCACGCCCTCGTACTCCTTCCTCGTTCCCCACCATACGCCCGCGACCGTAATCGCTAGAACGCCCACGACCGTCGCCGAGCTTGCCGATGTACTCGGATACACATTCCACGCCCATTCTTGCGCGCCCCATAATGCATATACCACGGCTGGATTGAACCCTGCTTTCCACAGCAAGAACGGCGTGCACCACGCGACATACGCGTAGAACTGGTAGTGCAGACTACGCGCGCATAGTAGGCCAATAGTCATCGCGGTCAACATCGTCGTCATAATGAAATCCGGGGTGATCTTGCTGGACATGGTGTCCTGGTCCCGGGGCTCAATGGCTGGAATACAAAGCTTGAGGAATTCCTTGACATTGCGCTTCGAGGGCTTGATCCAGCGGGTTCGCGCGTACCAGATGAGGAGGCCAACATGCAGAGCGAGTAAGCCAATGGCGAAGGGGCGTGAGAGGAACGTAGATTCCGGGACGAAGCGCCAGTTCACGGTCCATTTGTACAAGAAGGCACGGCTGAGCTCGAAAGCGCGGGCGAAATAGCTTGGTGCGCGCTTCCTGAAGGGGTAGCCATACAGAACCTACATTTTGATTAGCATCAATTGAGAAGAGTCCATGATCGATGATTTACTTACCGAAACCTGCACGATGATCATAGCCTGTGTCAAGGCTTCTCTTCCACCCAGTTTCATGACCATGAGAATACCCATTGCTGGTAGAGGCAGCAACAGGCTCATCTTGACGTTCAGCCCTGTGCTATACAGCGCGCTCCCCAGATGCCATTGATCGCGTTGGTAGCAGAAGACAGCCAGCCAGAAAAACAGCACCGCGAAACAGTCGTTGAAGCATCGTAGCATGAAAATGCTATGCATGCGCTTTGAGAGAATCAACAGCGGGAAAATATACGGTGGAACCTATCAACACGTCAGCTTCCAACTTCAATAAGCTAGAATGGGAAAGTACTCACCCTCGCCTTCCTATAACATTGAAACACCACACCAAGCGTAAGCAAATACACTCCCGCGAAAATGTACTGCGCGAGAGCGATATCCCGCCCTTCATCCGTCCACTTGTAAAGCTGCTTGTAGATCCACACATGCGCACCAGGGTACACGAGCGGACCTGTCGAACCAGCAATATTCTTATAGTCGCGCTCGCCTTTCAGAAAGATGGCTATTTGCTGCATGTACGTTGTCCAGTCAATCTCAGTATCTAGAAACCTCGCTGTTAGGACACGTGGTGCGTTTTCGGTGAGTAAGAAAGGAGCACGAACAAGGTATCTTCTCGATTATCACGCCTGAAAGCGCGGCGTCTGCTACGAGCAGCAGCGGAGTCATCCATCTTGTGTGGTCGGGGTTGTAGGCCAGGTCTTTTGCGCGGGCGAGGAGCGACATGGCGGCGTTTGTTGTTGCACGCGGTTTTGGTGATGGCAAGTTCGGGGGTTAACGATGGGTGTTATAGTTCGCGTCGCGTGTCACGTGGGAAGGAGGTTTGAGGTTTCAAGGATGGCAGTTTCGCGCGACGTGTGTTTCAGGCATCATTTTTCTCGTGCGAGCTGTGGATGGTGGTTTGACGTGGACTGCACGTTTTGTATGGAGTCAGACGCTGTTGCGCTCACGTCCTAGTGTTGTGCTATTTAAGGCAAGCGCGAGGTTTGCGCGTCCAGGACTTCGTTACTCTTTGTATCAATGCCCTGCATGCGATGTTGAATCCAAAATTATCTGTCCGATGAATCAATTGTCCTTTTCTACTTGCAGCCCAAGTACATAACTGGCACATATATAGCAAGGTGTCGTCGTAGTAGTCATAGTGGCACAAACGATGAGGAAATTGATGTTGCATTAGATCTAGGCTCTAAGGAATGTCTATACAAGAAGCGCTGAGAGAATCATGAACACTGAGGAAGGTCATAGCCTATGCTCAGTACTGGCTGGGTGCCGGGCACGCAGGGGCGGCGGTGGCGGGAAGCGGGACGAAGGTAACATAGGCATCAGAGACACCCTGGCAGACGAAGTCCTGAGGGCCGTTGCCACCAGCACGGCAGTAGCTGGGAAGAGTGGTGGTACCGACATAGGTGAGGCTGAGGGAATGTTAGCAAATTTGAACGAACTGCGCATCAAAAGGCATGGAAAGAACCTACTCGTCGCTGACACCCTGCTTGATGATCAGACCGGAACGGTCGCTTGAGAAAGCGAAGTCGATGAAGCTGTTCTCGCCGCAAGAGTAGAACTTGTTGTCCTCGAGCTTGTCGGCCTGGGAAGAGCAGTTGAAGTCGAGGGTACCTCCGTTGGTAGCCTTGATGTTGAAGCCGAAGCTGTTGTAGTAGGTTCCCTCAGGCTTGCGTCCGAAGAAGTTGGAGATCTTCCAGACGTAGTCACCCTGGGTAGCAACTGGGCAGGATGCGTCGACCTGGCGGGCCTCGAGAGGTGCGGCGCTGGCAACGGCAGCTGCGGCGAAGAGAGAAGCGATGGTGGTGAACTGCATCTTGATGGAGTTGGTTTGAAGTTGGGATGAAGTATTGGAAAGTGTGGTAGGTTGTAGTTGAGTGTGAGAGTTGGTGTTTGATGATGACTTGAAAGTGAGATACTTACTGCATTATATACTCATCCCACCTCGTATCTGGGATACTATCCTCCTGCCACGATCATCATCTCCGTCTCGTCCCAAGGTTCAATACGAGAAGATTGACACCAGGCCTCACCCTTGACCTTACCCGCTAGAACATACGAGAAAGGTGTACCATGAAATTTCTCCAGGAACACGAGCATCAGACCATGCCGAGAGCGCCGAAAGCACACTCTACCCCAATTTTGGAGCCTCAGTATCCTTGCCAACGGTGTCACGAACCAGTAGCGGCATCCGGGGTGACCGGATGAGGCGACAGGCATGTCCTATCCGGGCATTTGGCAGACCTAGCCGAGCTTGGATCGTGCTAAACATACGAGATGTGACGTCTAGTAGGATGAACCAGGTATGCACAGTGGCATTGGGCGCGAACTAACAGCGCTGGTCGATCGGCTGTGCAAGGCCTTGGTTCGGAAAACTAACGGCATGACGTCCTGGGCTATATGTGTGCTAATTGCTGTTGCAACACCGTACATGCGATGGTAGGCGACTGCTTCTTCCGCGTTCGTATCGACGCGGTATACCCTAGAGTGCTCGCGAACGACTATACCTAGGTAGCTTAGCGACACACTGGAAGCGTACAAGAGACGTCGTATGTCCCTCAAGTCGAGCCTGAGTGCTGTGGACCTGAGTATGTCGGCCGCGTGAATGATGACTGCAATCTCGTAGAGTTCGATCGGTCCGTTCCCGAACGACCTCATCGTCCACAGAAATGGGTGGTCCGAGTGTGGGGACGAGCGTCATATCAGTAATCGGCGTTGCCTCCATCACCTTGAATAATTCCAAGGTTAGCATGGAGATCACTCGTGAACGAAGGATTGAAATACGACGTCGCTTGGGGTTGAACCGAGATAGTGGAAAGTTGAGCCGTGACATCTGGCAGGAATGGCATCATCGAGCCGGTTGTTGCGGCTGTGGCTGCCGATCACCTGCCTGGCTCGCGCCCAGGGTCCACGCTCAAAGACGGAGCCAGGAGCTAAACAGTGACACCAACACCACTGACGCACCATCGGAGTCTGTCCGGCGGCACGCTATATTTGCTATTTTTGGACCCGCGATCGTGGGCTCACGCTCAACGCTGAACGAAAACTTTACGACCCAGGTGCACATCTACCTTCAAGGACTGGCATGCGTGACAATGAACTCAAACTGACTGCACCCACCGTGCGCAAGGCGACTATCAAGGTACACAGAGATCTGAGACGGCACTCGAATATTTTACGGTTCCGTTCCGTCATTCTCGGAGATCTCGTTGTTGCTTTTGAGACCTGACGGCATCTGCCTTAATTTCGATGGATCACTGAACATCTTGCTAATATGTCGGAGGCTGTCGGGTAGACGATACTGCCCTGGCGTCAATAGGACCGATAAACCATTGGATGTATGGACGCGGTTACGGTGTACGAAGTCAGACAATACTCTTACTGCGGATCTATGGACAAAGAAGAGACACTCACTTCGTGATCAGCGAAAGCTGGTTGGCAAATCCTTCAAGTTCTACCGCTCATGAACGTGGCTGGAGCCATTCGACCATCTTTGATGCTGGGTGCTAGCGGATCAGTAAGGGCACACGTCTTACACAAGATGACACGTAAGACCCTGCCACAATACACATGAGCAGAAGGAGGGGTAAGACCGGATCAACGACACTGAAGAGCACACCATATGTACCTGTATTGTACATCCAGTGAGCTTGGAAGTTCGTTTGACGCAAGATGATGCAGGAATTTTCCAGTGTTGCAAATTTGGAGATCGAGCTTTCAGAAGCAAACTTGCATGTAGGGGCAAGAAAATCCGAGATGTACCACCATCTGTCACACGCGGTCAGTTACGAGTATCGTTGCAATCTACTGATTGCGGAATGTGTCGCAAGAAGAGGAGGTGTACCACAGTAAGTACCCGTCCTGCTGCCGTTGCTCACCGGTCGGACCACAAGGACAAGATACCCAAGTCAGCAAATCGAGGGCAGCATGCATGGAATGAAGTACGCGCGGAACAAAACATCTCTCAACAACGGGTACGTACGCAGGATGCTGGCTTTCCCAGACGTTCTCTTGAGTATAAACAGTCGGCATGGGCACTGTTTCATGCTCGTCACTTGCGGTTCCATCGGCTCTCGCTACGCTACCTATCCGTTCCGACATTGTCTGTCTGCCTGACTCATGGATTCTGTTGAGCTCGAAGAACCCTATGACGAGGAAGGCAATTTTAGCTATGGCCATAGCGAGGATGACCTCGACAACGATTACACAGGCAGTGGGGATGAACAAAGTGGTGAGGACCGATATGCCAACAGTGAAAGCAATGAGAGCGACGAAGCTCCCGATGATGCGTCAGCAAATGACACGGATGGTGAGCTTAGTGACAGTGTGATTAGCGAAGATCTTTCGATGTCACCAAGCGATGATGACGAGGAAGAGGAGGACGAGGAAGATGAAGAGCTCGAGACAGGTAGCATGGGAAGCGATGTTAGTGGTTCAGACCAAGAGGAGGATGAGGAGGATGGAGAACTTGAAACAGGTAGCATGGAAAGCGATGTTAGTGACTCAGACCAAGAGGAAGATGAAGAAGTGAATGACACGGAAAGTGAGGATATGAGCTCAGATGGAGAGGCAGGAACGATTGACGAAGAGATCATCGACTTGGGCAGCGAAGAGAGCAACTCGTATAGTGAAGCATATGATTCGAATGGAGAGGGCGCTGAGGTAGATACCGCAATAGATTCGGTGGGGTACAGCGGCATGTGCAGCAATGACAGCACTACACATCACGAGCAAGGCGACGTCTTGACGAGTACGCGGAGTGCCCCGGGAGGGTGGGTGCAGTCTAAAGAAGGACAGGATTCCGCACCTATCCACCATCACAGCACCTACCAAGCTTATCAACCCAACAACACCCATCAATCTACGAACAACCATCAAGCAACCAACAATTATCAGCTGACGAACACCCACCCGTCATACACCGACAATCATAAGACCAGCAACTCTCAGACGACCGTTCAGAGCCGAAAGAAAGTTCCAAGACGTCTCCCTGAAGTACAAACTGTGCTCGATGCGTCGAATCTCAATCGCAGCAATACGCCAGCTGGCGTGCAAAAGCTCGCGCGCCCAAATGAAGTGGCGTCCAAGAAATCCAAAGACAACGCCCGCAGAACCAACGATGCTCATCTCTCGCACCGTACCAAACCCAATCACGGACACGCTGAACTACCATTCGAAACCAAGCATCCTCGAATATCGAAAAATCTTGGGAAGTCGAAAGCCGGCAACGAAATCAGTATGGCTGACGAGCTCTTCCTTCCGGTCATATCAACTCAATCTACCAAAAGCAACCAAAAGCCCAAAACAACAAACCGCTCTCCTCTCATGCACGAGACGGAAAGAACGCCTGTAGCAACTGCAAGTCACATACCCAGCAAGAAAAAGCGAAAGCCTCCGGTCCTTGAGATGGAGGGATATGCAATCCAAGTCCCCACCAACACCAAACAGCAATCCAACAGCAAGGCCAGCGGTAGGAAGTTGTCCAAGAACGACGCACTTTGCTCTCATATACAATCGCCCATATTCACCAGCGACACGGAAGAACCCCGTGTACCTACTGGCTTCTCTAACCCCCCAAAGGTTCTCCTGAATGGCATCTTCGCCGGAGTGATGATGCAGAGGCGTAAGTCTACAGCGAGTATATTTGATCACGACGCGCACACAATCATCGGCTTTAGTCTCACGAATGAGCGCGGAAAGCGGTACAAGGAGGCTGGGATGAAGAAGTACAAGACGGCTAAAGGTGGTTTTACACTGTGGTGGAAGCCTTACTCGCCATTGGCGGATTACTTTGATAGAGGAGACGAGTTTGAGTGATCTGGAAGGCTCGCTCGTGAAATTTCAGATGGGGTTTAATTCATCGTGTTGTGTTTAGTTGCAATCGAGTTGTAGTTGCTTCACGAATGTAGTCGAGAATTTCATCGTCTCCCACTTAGGAACATCCTCAAGTACTTTGCAATGGTTGGAGCGAAGAAGCATGTAAAGCCAAGCCTCTGACGTAGTATCCCAGCCTAAAGCCTGCCCATACGTGGTGCAGGATAATCGCGACCATACAGACGATGCCATGAGATAGCTGTAATGCCGATCATCCGGTCAGCACTTCGCAAGATATACACCGATCAGACCAACACCTAGCCGAACGTCATATGCCTCTTCCAACTCAAATAAAGGGTCCTCTCACAAGAACACCTAGAACACTTTCCCGAGTTTGCTTTTTGGATTTCCAATAACAACAAGGTTCATTGGTTACGCGCAATTCTAGGATACCTACCCCTCCATCAGCAACAATGTCAGGCATCTTCAGCCTGTCAAAGTGCCTTCCCCGCGCCTCTCCTCGTCACGTCCAGCCTTGCGACAGCGAGAAATGCGCCGAAGACTTTGGTCTCGACGTAATGCTCGTCTACCCAGAGTCGAAGAAATCGGCTGAAGACTGGCCAGCAAAGTTCCGAGCTATCACGAAGTCAAATGTGTATAGCTTTCGTATGCGGCCAAAGGCACTGTACCCAGAGAAGGACTCCCAAAGCTCTTCAGAAGAGGATGCAGATCTGCCGACTGATCCAAAACCACAAGGCGCTTACGACAGGTCATCGACAAGACCGGTGGTGTTTGTTGCTGAGACACCCGAGGCTCGAACTGTTTATGCGGAGGTGCGCCAGCCTGAACCGATCGTACTCGACCACATGAGAAGACGAATACCTTTCGCCGGACGTGTCTATGGCGTAATCGAGCTGCGACGCAACTCCAATCTTAAAATGACATGCATGCTCGCCTGGGGGCAATGGGGCTTGCACAACATCGTGAAGAACTACTACGGCTGCCGGCAATCGACCGATAAGTGTCAGTCTGCCAGACAGCCGAGGATCGTGACCAATCCGTCAACTGGCTTTGTTATCTTCGTCACGGTCATGTCCATGTTGGACTACTGGATGCAGTACGACATGAACCGAGGGGACTATTACCAGCGACTGTGCCTGATTACTGGAATCACGATGGGCTTCTTGTTGAGTCAGTCTGGTCCGTCCATTGAATCGTTGCCTACGTTGATGGCTGCGATGAATCTGGCGATGACTTGCAGCGCTTTTGGGCACTTGATCTGGCGGAAATATTTCAGCACGTGTGAGAGGAGGCTGGAGCAGAAGCTAGACGAGTGGAAAGAGGAGGCTCGCCGTACTCAGATTTACTCGCGGAAAGACTGCAAGCTCGAATGCGAAGCCCAGAAGCCCCACGTTGTCAAGTTCCACGAGCTGGACTAGGCGGATCGAGTGTCGATTACTATGCGAGTAGGATGACGGATAAGCTAGAGGGGAATCTGTGACGAATAGTCCATGTCAGTCACGTATCTCGAGTCTGAGGGCGGCTTGGGTCAGGGTATTGGGCGGTATTGTTATTCTTGATTGTGCGCGGGTCTATTCCCATTGTGTGCCTTTTAGTCGTTGCATGAGATATTCCACTTCTACCTCCTTTGTCAGGGGAATAACCCAATCCTGTATCATCAGTTAGTACACAGTATGAATGAATGAGGGCACTGAACGTACCTTGTACATGCCAACGACGGCGTCTGCATTCACTTTGGACGAGCCGTTCGCGCCCAGGTCCGGGTCTGTGCCGTACGTCTTGGCCTTTAACCTCAGTCTCTCCAGCACTTTCTTTTCCACCGCAGCATTTGTGATGGCCTCGTCGATGCCTTTCCTGTCTTCGTCCTTGATCAACTTGACGAAGCGCTCCGTCTCCTGCTGGAACTTGGCCTCGGCAACGAACTTGCCAAAGTGTATGCGCCGTGACAGGGACTGGATGGTCATGACATCGCAGGTGGCAGAGGACCCGTAGTTCTCCTGCGACTCTCCCCTGTCCTCGCGGTCTGTCTGCAGGCATGCGGCGGGCAGGATGTGCTTGATGTAGCAGTCCTTCAGCTGGGCGTTGACGTTGACATTATTCGGGTGCAGGATCTGCGGGTAGTTGAGGGGCTTGAGGATGGGCTCCTGGAGGACCTCTGGGAAGAAGGGGTATTCGTCGGGCGACTGGTAGCGGCGAACGAGGGACTGCAGGCGCTCCTGCTCGCGGAGCATCCAGTCGAACAGGCTGGTCTCGGGCTCGCCAATGTCGACGCCGCCGGGGACGTAGATGGTCCGGTTGAGGGGGAACTGCACGCGCTCGATCAGATGGAAGGTGATTGTGTCCTCGAGCCGACTGTCTGCTGTCAGTGAGACTCAGGCGCGCATGGCGGGGAGGCGTACATGAGCTGGAAGCGGATGTTGGCCAGGTCAAGCGCCTTGGACGCGTCGGAGAGGTCAATCGCGTCCATAGTTCCTTCTCAAGCTCCCAAAAGGGCAGATATGCGGGTGAGTGATGTTTGCAGCCATGGCAGTCCGGTCGTGTCCCGAGCATCGGCGTGCTCTTCGGCGGATGACGCAGGCGGGTGCCGACTGGTGAGCTCGATAGTCACTCCCCTCCGCAACACCACTATCACCATCTCGAGCACCCGACGCGCCTCCCGCCTCACCGCCTATTGGCCTTTTGTAGCACACGCGAGCACCCGGTCTGAGATCCTAATGCGAAGATAAGGATGCCCTAGCGACGTCTCCTTCACTGCGCCGCCCGTTGAGTCTCCCGCCACGCCTGCTCGCATGGCCTCGTCCACCGCCCGCAATGGATCCCCAGGTCGCGGCCGGTCCACCAGCCCGCGCTCGCCGCGGTACTCGCAGGCCTTTGACGACGACGACGAGAGCAGCTTCATAGACTCGCTCCCCGATGTAGCCCCACCGCACCTTCCCTGAGCCCACGGTGATGCTAATGCTCGCTAGACCCGCCATCTGCAAGCTTTTGGCAAAAAAGTCACAGCCACCGCCGGCAGCTTGATAGGCGCCGAAGGAGTCACCCAGCACTACCAGAACGCCATTGGCGAGCTCCACCGCGAGCTCAGGCGCCCGCTGATGCAGCGCTCCGTCTTTTCCTTCGCCCAGACCACCCCCCGCGAGATCGTGCGCTCGCGAATCTCCGTCCCCGAGATCCAGCAGCGCGCCCTCGCCTACATCCCCAACGACCTGCTCTCCAACATCCCCGAGGACAACGCCGAGTTCTCCCTCTTCCAGGGCTTCGAGGCCTCGCTGCCCGACGCCCCCGACAGCCATGCGAAGAAACACGGCCGCCACAACGCGCGCGGCCAGCGCCTGATCGGTGGCGGGGAAGACGATGACGATCCCAATGTGCCCCCCTCGATGCAGAAGCTGCGGAAGCAGCGCAACAGCATGGGCCACCGCCTCGAGATGATGGGCGTGCGCAAGCACATGTGCGTCGCCGAGATACACGAAATCGACAACAAGATTGCCAACCTCAACACCATGCGCAAGATGGTCCTCGACCGTCTGGCGGGGCTCGAAATCGAAGAGGGCGAGCTGGAGCAGGACCTGCTGACCGTGGACAACCGCATTGAGGACCTGCAAGAAGAGCTGGACGACGAAGCCGCACTAGCGCCCAAGACGGCAGGGTCGCAGACAAGCGACGAGCAGTCAGAAGGCAAGGGCGAATTCATGTCCGAGTCGATATACCAGAAGATACCCTCCTCGCCCAAGACGAAGAACAAGGCCAAGAGGCTGTCAAAGAGGATGTCCATGCCCGTACTACACGAGCATCTACAGTCAGGATCCAAGATCAAGGAACTGCCCGCGCACATGGACGCCATCACCGCCATGGACTTTGACGCTCCGTGGGGCATGATGGTGACCGCATCGCTAGACGACACAGTACGAGTCTGGGATCTGAGCGCCGGACGGTGCATCGGAATGCTCGAGGGTCATCTCTCCTCCGTGCGCTGCTTACAGGTCGAAGAAAACATCGTCGCAACCGGCTCAATGGACGCTTCGATAAAACTCTGGGACCTGAGCAAGGCCGAATACGCACCCATGGATAACCGGATAAACAAGCCCGATGAAGAGAGCGATGATGGTCTGGCATTCGAGAACTCGGAAGACGCACCTCCTGCGCCGCCGTCGACCAGCATGCAAGACTGCCCTCTCTTCTCTCTCGAATCACACGTCGACGAAGTCACTGCGCTACATTTCCGTGGCGAGACTCTAGTTTCCGGTTCTGCAGATAAGACACTACGGCAATGGGATCTGGTCAAGGGACGATGCGTGCAGACGCTCGATGTCCTCTGGGCTGCCGCCCAAGCCACAGCTACGAACACCTCCAATAGCACATGGCGACAGACCGGACGCTCTGCCGACTCCTCTGCCGATTTCGTAGGCGCTATACAGTGCTTCGATGCCGCACTTGCTTGTGGTACCGCTGATGGTATGGTACGTCTATGGGATCTCCGTAGCGGGCAAGTTCACCGAAGTCTTGTCGGCCATACAGGTCCTGTAACAGCCCTGCAATTCGATGACGTACACCTCGTGACCGGTAGTGCCGACAGGAGTATACGCGTAAGTCAACTATCTTTCCTGCGACTATTCCCTAACTAACATGCACAGATCTGGGATCTCCGAACCGGCGCCATTGCCGACGCCTACGCTTACGACCACGCCATTAGCAGCATGATGTTCGACTCACGTCGGATTGTGTCTGCAGCTGGTGCAGACGTAGTCAAGGTCTACGACAAGACAGACGGAAGGCACTGGGACTGCGGACCCGGAGCTGACGAGAACGACAAGACGACACACTCTATCATCGAACACGTCAGAATAAAAGATGGCTATCTGGTTGAAGGACGCAGAGATGGTACCGTTGGTGTCTGGTCGTGTTAGTAGAAACATAGAAGTAGAAGCGATGGGAATTGTATATAAGAACAGGCTGCGCATATGCCAGTCATGTAAATGGCA